AAGGCTTTTTACAAGTTTTAAGCTGTTATTGTTTGATAACTGCTGTTTAACGCCGCAGTGCGCGATACGAAAGTTATCACAAGAATGCTGAGTTGTGGGCAAAAGTCGGACCACGGGCGGGACTTCGAACCCGCATCTTCTGCTTACCGGGCAGTGCTTTAAAATAACAATAATAATAACAGTAATAATAATGAAAGCTTTTTGCTAAACAGAAACAAAATTCACGTTTTCCTCTCGGTATCAGAGAAATCCTTGTCATCCGTGTCTGAAAAAAGTACATGGAAAATGAAAAAATGTACTTCTTATCATTGCTTCTTCACAATACCAAATGGCCAACCTTCTGTACTTCTTTCTAAGCCATCACCAAGGGAATCGCTTGAGCTTTCACTCTTTTCGTCGCTCTCAGAGCTTGACTTATACTCTTCAACAAATCTGTAGAACGGACCACGGTTTCTCATCAATTCGCTATATCGGCCATTTTCGATAATGCGTCCATCTGAAGAAGAGTAATTTCGACAATTCTGATGTTGCAGAAAGACATTATGAGAAAGAACCTTGTAAAACGAGTATCTCATCTGCCGACTTGATATACGACAATCTGTGAGTGACCAGAATTCTCGTCTTATGTCGCAAGAGGCCATCTGGGCCTAGCACCTAAAGTGCACATAGTATGTCGAGCTCACAGACAAAGTTCAAGAAAAAAAAAGCCAAAGAACGTTTATATTTCGGAAGCAGTAGTACAGCGTTGTTCGTTGCGTGATGGGGCGTGTCAAGAGAAATGGGTGTGGCGCGGCGCCGAACCACTTTCCCCACCAGCTGTTTGAGTGAGCAAGAGATAATGCTGTAATCATACCGTTCGTACCAGTCGTCTTCCACATGCTATTGCCGCTTACCCACTGCAAGGACTGGTGCAGAACGAGCTGGCGGCGCGCCAAAAACCCGCCTCATTGGCACGCCCATCATCCGCAGCGAGGAAGGACTGCATTCCTTTACACATCCAGTGAAAATCTATCTTGTTCCTTCCTACCTTTTCAAACAAATGCCTTCCAACATGTGCATCCACAGCAGACAATGGATCGTCAAGCAAATATACATCGCTATCCTGGTATACTGCTCTGGCCAACGACACTCGAGCTTTTTGACCACCAGAGAGATTGATTCCCTAGAAAACAGCGGCCAGAATGAGATGTTTACTTCATTCTCGACATCAGTACTAAAGATAAGTATAGTAACCTTCTCCCCTATCTCAGTCAAATCTCCATTCGCCAGCATTTTCAAGTCCGGTTTCAAAGCACAAGCCGACAACACCTGAACAACACGAAAAACATATGAAAATACAGTAGCAAATAAAACAGAAGTCTGCTGATTGTTACTAGAAGTGATTTGGCACCTACCTGGTTGTACCTGCGTCTGTCAAATGGTTTACCAAAGAGTATATTGTCACGGAGTGTCATATTTTGAATCCAAGGCTGTTGCGGTACATAGGCCACTTTCCCATGGAGGCCGACGATTCCTCGTAACTTTCCCATCTCACCTTAAAAGAAAGAATCGTAGTCAAAGGAAGCTTAAAATGCTTTGTAAGAATATAAAAGTCACAAATCCGCCAACCTAAAAGTGCTGACAGAAGGCTCGACTTTCCTGCTCCAACCTGCCCCACGACAGCTATGAAGGAGCCACTTTTGGCACTGAGATTGATGTCCTGTAACTGATCTCATTGAAAAGAAGACCATAAACTGTTAGCGAGAGAGGAGGATGCGGGTCAAAAGCGAATGCCGCTGAAGCGCAGGGCACTATAGGGTTTTGATCTCAGGGGGTCAGAGGTCACCTACGCGATTGGTCAGTGGAGCGCGGGGAGGCGGGACCGAGGCATATAAAAGGTGGCCCGAGTTCTAGTGAGGTCGTCAGAAGTTTCTTCTTCGTCGTCATCATCTCTATCTACTTGGGGCTCTCCCTCACTACTTGCGCCTTGGTGGCCCACCCGGAGCGGAGAGTCAACGGAGCCTTTGTGGCTCGATATCCCGAATAGCCTTAGTGGCATCAGGAGCCTGAGTGGCTCGGAGACTTAGTGATAGCCTACGTGGCTAGCGGCCTTTGTGGCGTGACTGGCCTTTGTCCCCAGTCTCTTCCAGGACACCAACCCTTCCAGACCAGACTTTCGAGCGGGCCTTGCGTTTCCGCGGCATCCAACACCAACCCCCGCATCCGACTCCACGGATCAAGAGCTTTATAAAATCTTTTATCGCTTTTCATTCCGTGCCCTTGTTATTTATTGGTGCAATAGTAAACTACAGGGGGGGGGCAAAAATGACTTTCAAGGCGCTATAAGTTACACTTTATTAAATTTTTATCGGACATTTTTACTACCATATTAAAGAGCACATTAAATACTATAATGATACTCCGCCACAGCCTTCTGGAGGAGCGCCATCGAGAGATTCGGCCGCGCGAAAGTGAGTGGGTACCGGAGTTGAGCGAGATCGTTGATTTCTCCGCCACTGTAGACCACCCTGTTGAGCTCCGCCCGAACCGAGTAATTGAGGGGGTTTAGTTCAGGACCCCCGCTTAAATACTCCATCTTTTCCAGGTACTCAACGTTCTTCCATTCCAAGTAGGCGAAAGTTTTTCCAACGCCCTTCGATTAAATGTGTTGTCACCCAATCCTGTAGCAGTACAAAGTTTCCAAGAAGGTACGGGCGACGACATGAAGATGGGATATTCTCCTCGAGTTGCTCGATGTAGCCACCAGCGCACACCCTCAGTCTGGGGCCCACGAAGAAAATATCGGTTCATCCATTCCAGGTACGGCCGGTCCACACCATCAACCCGCGCCTTGGTGAATGGGGTGAAGATGATGTCCTGGACCGTAGCGACGTTGCCGGAGCTGCTCGATGTTTGAGGTCTTGCAGATCAAGAGTACTGGTCTCCAGGTAGCTATCCATGGGTGATTCCATTCAAGAAGTTCCGCAGCTGTTTGGAGGCCACGTGAATTCCAAAGGCGTTCTCCACTCAGGCCGCGACTGGAGATGACTTCATATTTTGGTGTACATGAAGGTGAATGGCGGCAGCCGGCTCCTGCTTATAGAGGAAGATCTTGGGTATCTTCCGCCCTGGTACTCATATCCACTTCCTCTGTCTGGGCTGCGAAAACTTCGCTCATATGTGACTCGGCCGGAATGACTTTTTTTTGGCCCCCCTGTATATTTTATAACTTTGTGATACCAACAACATTGCATTCTGTCTAACTTGAACCTTTAGTCGGCCTTACATGGGGCCGAAACGTTTTAGACTGTGCGAGTCGAGTTGGTATCATCCAGTGAGGGGACGGCACAGGACCCTACGGGATCTGAGAAATCTGCGATTGTAAGGACCAACATTGGTCTCAAGGATCAGTTGTGATCTCAGCAGTAGACCCATCGGTTGTAATACCCGGAAGAGCGCTGGACCAACCAATAGAGGGAAAGTGGTAACCAGATGAGTACCTTTCGGTAGATCATCTAGAACATTTCGCGATCTTGCCGTTTTTATTCGTTCAGAAAGTCGTTGGTCGTTGTTGTACGGCGTTTTCAGGATTTCTCTTTTGCAGAATAGAGTGTAAACGATGGAAAGCTGAAAGGATGGAGGAAAACCATTCGCCAAAGAGGTGAGCTACGTCAATCTGAGTGATGGGTGGAAGGTGATGGGAAAGGCTATGTGCGCATCTTGAATGAGGCGCAATACAGAATTAGCGAGATTTTGAGAAACTCGAGAGTGTCGAAGGCCAGGTCGGAAGTCGAAGTTGTTTGGACTTGGGCGAAAGAGGAAATGGAAAGAGTTCGGAAGCAGAGCCAGAAAGAGGTGTTGTCTCCGTTGTGTTGAAGGAGGAGATCACGGAAACGTGTAGCTCGAACAGGATCGAATGCAGTGGATGATTGGAAAGGAGTTGAGAAAACAATGGGAACAGCACGACGGCCGCAAGTCATGGCACAGAACTGTCTGAAATTGAACACTGATGTGTTTCAGGTTAAACGAGAAGTGTCGGCTCTCCAGCAGCTTAGAGATAAGGAAGTCATGGGACGAGGTAGGACTGACTCTGCAGAGGAGTTATCGGATCGCAGACCAGTCAGTTGCAGAGGACGCGTTCGACTAGACAGACATCTGCAGATCACTCGAGGCGACATTCGCTGTATCGGACAACTACGCCACCGGTGGACGAAGGTGCGTCAGTATCAGATTAATTAACAGTGTACCTGAGGGCAATGGTCCTGTACGGACCCTGGTGTGCATAGGGGAGCGAGGAACGAGAAATTTAACGAATTCGTACGACGGTTTGAGCGAAAGTACGAGGGAGTAGTAAAGTGTGAAGCGACTTTACTAGAAATTTTGTGTGATGAAAATCTTAGGCTGGCAAAGAGCAAAAATATATACAAGGCTCTGCCAAGGCCAGTGAAGGACCAGGGATTTGAGATTATTATAGAGGAGATGTCTAGACTGCTAGCACAAGAGTCCACAGCGGGTAGGCTGAGGGCTTTGACGGAGTTACTAGAGCTGAAAATTAGACCCAAGCAGGACGTGGCGGATTTCTGTGCAGTGCTGGAGAATCTCGGCCAGCAGGCATTCCCAGAGGGGAACGCAGAGGATAGGTCGTTGGAATATGCCCAGATATTCTTAAGCAACCTGGTGACTGGCCTGAACATCAGTTGATGCTCTGCATGAGGTGCAACCACACATGGCATACGATGAGGTCAAGCAATAGGTCTTAAGCATAGAACAGACAAGCTCATGCTGGGTGTGAACAGCAATGTCGGCAAGAGGAGCTGGAGAAATAGGTCCGCGCAGTATTGCTGTGTTAGTGAAGAAGGAAGATTGGAAAGTGCGAAAACGTGGGCGAGACAGGAGCCATGTAGAAGAGATCCATGTCTAGCAGAAGGCTGTGGATATCAGCCTGGAGCACAGAGGTCGCCTCCTAATGACAGAGTTGCCACAAGACCTAGTGGTAGCGAAGCGAGGAAGTGCTACACCTGCTCCAAGTATGGGCACATAAGTCGCGATTGTCCGCTACGAGAGTAAGTCTGATCGAACACAAATCAGATCCAGTGAAAGAAAAAAGCCACATAGTCGAGTATAATCAACAAGGCACGTAACTTAGGGATAGCAGTGAAAGGTCAGAAACTGATGGGCAGTGCCTTTTGGAGATCGGATCATGGCATCAGTGAGCCTGCTCAATAGGACAAACCCAGCACTGATCGATACTGGATCAATGATCAGCATTACACCTGTAGAGGTACTGGCAAGGGCTCAGGATAGTGGTTATGACGTAGATATGCTAGAGATGATAGAAGAGTGTGAGTTGAGCCCAGTGTATGATGCGCAAGACAATAGAATGCACTTTCTGGGTGCGATCATAATAGAGGTTGAATTACTAGGAGGAAACCGCTGTAAAATCGCCTTCTATATCAGCAGAAGGAAGGAGGATGTGATAATCTTGGGTACAAACGCCCTTCATGATCTAGGGGTTGAAGTATCTATAGGAAAAAGAGATGCTGATTCCACGAAGACAGAAAGCGGCGTTGAGAAAGTAGAAAGAGCCGCAGTGGTGAAGCAAATATGTGTAATACCGCCGGCAAGACTTGTGGAAGCAGGGTGTGAAGGGAACACCAAGAAGTTAATAGATCGAGCCATAGGGCCGATTGGAGGTCGCAACAGAAAAGCGTCGAAGTCAAGATAGTCAACAGAGTCTGCCAGTCTTAGAAAACAGTGATCCAGCCCTGGTTACTAGAATAGGAGATGATAGCGAACCATTGAAAGTTCAGTTCGATTCTCTGCGGATCGTCCCCAAAGAAATTTCAGAAGATAGAGTGGACAATGTTCACAGTAGAAGTCGTAGGGGTAGAAAAAAAGGTGAATGTTGCAACATTTCAGTGCAGTTGTTCCAGAGGAACCGAGAGAGGACATCTTCAATTTGAGTGCCAGGATCGCTGCTTCAGCAAGACTAAGCTTGGAGATATCAGTGGGATTCCGCTTCCCGGTGCATTCGCTCGAAAACCGATGAAGGACCTATGGTCTGCGTGGAAGATTGCCTCCATCTTCATAAGGACAGACATTACTGTCGCAGAGAAGATACATCTGTGCAAAAATGGAGCTGTGAAGCTGGAGGCGCAGGCGTTGTGCGCAATCTTGAGAGTGGCATACGAGCAGTGTACAGAATTGACGGAGTTTATTTGTACGAATCAGGTGATTGCACGGCACCCTCCGATTGAGGAATTACGATGTGGAGAAGTTCTGCGAAATCGCGTTCGAGAAAGCAAAGGAGGAGCTCAAGGAGGCAGACCGCGCAGCAAGGCCGCGCAAACAGGGGCCGGTCGGATTTGCCGCGCCGGAAACTGCGGCACTGATGGAGAAGGACGGCCCGCGAGGAGGTCTCATCACGAGGTCGTTCGTGACCCTGAAGGAGGTTCTGGCGGATTGGTCGACGTACGGAACCTGGATTATTGTCTACCCGATAGAGCGCAGATGTGACTTCTCAACATTGGAGGGGATAGTCAAGCTCGCCAAGGTACATTTCGAAGAGGGAGGTCGCATTGCAACAGCATGGACGCCCGTGACATCGCGTCGGATGGCGGACTGGATGTCCATGGCGCAGCTGTGGAGTACTATGGATGCGATGCTGCGACAGTTTGCCGGTTCAGATCAGATGGTGGCCACAGCCAGCAATTTGCTGAGTGAAGGCAAAGTATTCTTAGAGGCAGGGAGCCCGGAGTCCACTTCTCAATTCTATAGGGCATACCCCGGAGTGGCAGCCGCCAAGCAGCTCTACGAAGCAGTTCGCAATAGGGTCCCCCACTTCCAGCTGCCACCGCTGGGAGACGACCGGTCGATGAGGACATCGACTGTGGGGAGGGGGGCATGTTTGCAAGAGAGGAGGATGCGGGTCAAAAGCGAATGCCGCTGAAGCGCAGGGCACTATAGGGTTTTGATCTCAGGGGGTCAGAGGTCACCTACGCGATTGGTCAGTGGAGCGCGGGGAGGCGGGACTGAGGCATATTGAAGGTGGCCCGAGTTCTAGTGAGGTCGTAGAAGTTTCTTCTTCGTCGTCATCATCTCTATCTACTTCTTGGCTCTTCCTCACTACTTGCGCCTTGGTGGCCCACCCGGAGCGGAGAGTCAACGGAGCCTTTGGGCCTTAGTGGCAATAGTCGACGGGGGAAGAAGGGCCGTGGGGTGGACCGAAAGACCCCACAGCTCCCCAGGTCTCTTCCAGGACACCAACCCTTCCAGACTAGACGTTCCGAGCGAGCCTTGCGCTTCCGCGGCATCCAACACCACCCCCGCATCCGACTTCAGGAATCAAGAATTTCATAAAATCTTTTATCACTTTTCATTCCGTGCCGTTGTTATTTATTGGTTTAATAGTAAACTATTTTCTTTTAACTGTGTAATACCAACACCATCGCATTCTGTCTAACTTGAAACTTTAGTCGGCCTTACAAAACTATATTGAAAGGTCCAACCTGGAGCGTATTGGTAGCTCTCTGCGATTCACTTCCTTCATCCCACGTTGCTGAGAAATCTCCAAATTCAACGACGCTGCCGTCTAAAAATATTTATGAAAGAACACTTAGAGGAAGATTCTTCCCAGAGAGGTATAGCTCTCAGCAATTTTCCGTATTTATATAGTTTCACAGCGGAGGTGGTGCAGTGGCAGTGGCGCGCTTACCATTCGCGCGGTCCTGGGTTCGAATCCCGGGTCGACACCCGCCCAGGCCAACCAAGCCTTCTATCCTCCGGGGACGGTAAATGCCACCAAATTCGTCTAAGAAGATGAGCGCGCTGACTTGTACATTGGTTGGCTTCCACTAGTCATTGTATAGGACACGTCGCATTCAGCTGATGATTCTGAATGGAAGTAGGAAGGGTGCCGCGTTCGAAAAAGGGATTGCTCAAAGGAGAAACCTCATCCTCCTACATACGTTTCACTTTACCATATTGATTATGAAAGCACGGCTAAACTTGAACTCAGATGGAGATTTGTTTCTAGGTGGAAGCGCTTTAAGCCAGCGTTCTATAACAGTAGGACTACCAAGATGTCGGGAGTAGTGAATATTTTCAGATATTTAGTCCTCATCATTGCGGACTGTCGGGGCGGCTGAGTGTCGCGGTACGCACTGTGGCCCCGGACGCACCGGGCGCCTGGGCTCTGCCGCGCTCTACGGCCAAACATGCGCTGCACCGCCAACCAATAGGCGTGTGCCACGTGACGTCCCGCCGCGTGCTGCTACTATAAAAGTGGCCGGCGGAGAGACTCCGCCCTGCGGAGCTCTCTTGGCATCCCTTCCCTGCTGGGAGGAGAGTATCCCTCTCCTGCCAGTTGAGAAGGTCAATGCCTGGCTCACGTGGAGTGCAGGCCCGAGTGGCACTCGACGCTGCGAGGGTTAGCACTCGACGCTGCGAGGGCTAGCACTCGCACAAGCTGGCAGAGTGCCGCCTTACCGCTAACGATGTCAATCAAGGATCGATGGAATGGTCGGCCAGAACGGCAGGGATGAGAGTAGAAGATGGTGATTGACGTCGTCAGTTTCCGCCGCAATAAATGTGAGTGTTTATAATACGTGTTTGTGTGCTAGGGTAGATACTGGGGAGCGCCAGGGCGGGGGCCCGACTAAGGCGCTGTAGGTTGTTGTTTCATGTTGCTCCTTATCGGTTGTGCGTCCAGCGACCAGGGAACCCTTGGTCTGGTCCTTGTGGCCGGGCCAGGGGTAGACCAGCGTGGGGACAGTGCTACCGCAAGCTCCCCCACAACCCCCGGGATAGGAACCCTGTAGACCTCGGGGAGCGGAAGCTGCGCTGGGGAGAGACCAGAGAGACCCTTAGGATGATGTGAACTCCTGGATTCGGGACTCACGGGGCTCTGAACGTCGTGTTGGAGGGTCAGGAGGGACTGCCTCTGAACCACGACACTGAGCCGCGCTGCACTGTGACACGACAGCGGCTGCGGCTCGGTGACGGCGAATCAGCTGATTTCGATGGAATTCGGCTGCGAATTCCCACTTTTTCAGCTCTTCAAGCTTCGAAAGTGGAAGTGAGTATTTTGAACAATTTTGAATTGTACTGGCTCTAATTTCCTTTATTTTTATGTCGATTATATGCTCTTTTCCTTGTATTTTGCCTTATTTCAGGCATTTATTCAAATGGCTTGCATTTCAGATTCTTTCTCAGTGTTCAGATACATTTTCTTAATTGGTCAGAATACACTCACCTTTCCACTTTTTTAGAAGCTTGGTTTTAGAGCTGAATAAGTTTTGGAATTTGCTAGTTCGTATATTCCATTCCATCGAAATCAGCTGAATCGCCGTCATCGATCACAGCCGCTGTCGCTTCACAGTGCAGCGCAGCTCAGCCGCCCAGACAGTCCGCAATGATGAGGACTGTAGCATCTTTTAGTCTTTATAAACCCCTCTATCGACTAGCACTTCGGTAGACAGCAAATGATAATCCATGTGAGAGTTGTATTCTCATCCTCGTTTAAACATTGGTAGCGTTCTATCTGTGACCAGCCGAATGCTAACCCACCTTTGCGCTGTTTTCTATCTACAACACTCGGGTCGAGTTCCTCCGCTACGAGGTATTCCTTCATCCTTCGATTTGAAACCAGCACCTATAACAGAGATCTTGGTACAGGTTGCCTCACGCGTGGAGTGCAGTACATAGGGCTTAGTTACGTTAGTCACATCACGTGATCATGGGAAATCTGTAAAGCTTAAGAGAGTATATGGACAATGAAACAGGAAACAGTTTTTTTTTTCAAAGTAATCGCCAGTTGCGTCAATACACGAGTTCCTTCGGAGAGGGCGTTGCCTACGTTGTGTGGATGTGCCATCTTGTTGCGGCTGTTTGAAAAGCCCTCCCCAACCCACAGGCTGTGCTCAGCCTTAGCGATGACGCGCGTCAACGCGCGCTAGTGCAATAGCGCTGGAATGCTGTAGAAGGGAACCATAGTGTGGTATCAATCGCTTCCAGTAGCTGGTGTTTCGGGAAAGTATAGGAGACTAGGAAGGTATCAGTGTGATTAGGCAACGCGACCCTGCCATTCTTCCGCGCTACGACCGTCGACGCAGCCTCGTAGCAGCGGGCTTTAGTGCGTCAATTTTGTTCCGCGCGACAAGGATTTTCTTGATCTCGTGATCAATATCATATATCCCTAGATGGGTCTTTGTAGTGTCGTGGCGGAATGCTGCAACTTGATCTGAAGGCGTCTATGCTTCTGGTGAGATATTTTCATTTTGACAAAATTGTTTTCGCGTCCCTGTCCAACATAGAACAAGATGGCCCAGTTGTCTGACCCCAGGTATATAACACGAATAACCAGTCCGTGCCACTTGGTTCAAATGCCACGCCGACTCTGGTCAGGATAAGAGGTATACTTCGGCTTTTATTTTTTTTTGTTATGTTTCAGACGCAGACGTTCGACACCAAATACATACCTTTTTTTTTGTTTTTTTTTTTTCCTTTGTTCTTTTTTTAATTCCCTATTTTTTCTTTTTTTTTTTCTTTTTATTATGCAGTCAATCCTTTCGTTTCACTACAGAATGTGGTAACCCAGGCTAGATGCCTGACCATAAATTTTTGCGAATGTATAGCCTCTTTCTCGGCCCATTCTGGTTTTTCACACTTTTCGGCCTCTGCGCGTGGCTCAGCTACTTCCGTCTCTTACTGAAATGTCCACCGGTTCTTGGCAAAAATTCCCCTACGGTGCGAGAATAACCTTGGATCTGAATTTGATATCCGAAATGAGTCCTTGCTGTCCGCAATCATGCTCTTGGTTTCACAGCTGCACGTTGTCGCCCTGGTATTCCATGCACCGTTGTTTTAGGGAATAAAGGCGCATCATAAACGCGGAGGTAAATCCGCGCGTAATTTGGTGAGTCCATCAACAGACTTCTTCTTTTTTTTGCGGATTCTACTCTTCTATTTGGTTTTTAAACAATTCTTGTTCAATATAGTTTTGTCACATAGACATAGATAAGAACAAAAGAAAAATACGCAAAAGGAAAGCTGCTGAAAAACGTTTCCGGGGTTCGAGGCCACGTCGCGCCGTATACATGGGAGCGCCTTGTACAATAACATAAAAACCCGCAAAACCATCGCAGAACTTATATACCGATGAACACCTATCTCACTGAGCTTTGTAATGGCAATGACACAAGATTCCTGGAGGTTCCGAGTTCAGAGCTCCCTTCCACCTTAACACAACAGAACGCCGCGGTTTAAATCAAAGTTGCATGAGGGGAGCGCTCGCTACGTGCTTGTTGGCCACCCTATCCACCACTGAAGATCGTTTACCTGCACTATTTGACTTATGAGCATAGCTATCATGGTCATGGGAGAACGTAGTTGATTGAACAGGGTCAGAGATACGAAAGCAACCTATAATTGAAATTATAGTGAAAAGTTCACTGAAAGATCAAAAATCAAAAGCACCTGTGGTGTTAACACATGCGACGTCGATGAATACACGTAAGTGCCAAAAGAGAAGAAGGCGACCTAAAAGAGCGAAATTTTCATTTATGTCATTGTGAAGGAACAATAATCGGTGTCCACGCACAAAGCCTGGATAAAAGTTAAGCATAAAATTTCAAACCATGTTAGAATGAATAGCTTCGGAAAGATGAAAAGGAATGAGTCAAGAAGTATTTGCAGTCGTTTTCGCTGTAGACTAAAGTTAAAGCAGGCAGGCGACAACAATATGTGGAAAAGGGGTTGCTGCCGCGCCACAACCAGCCTCCTGGAGCACAGAGAGGGACTATGCTTCTGCTTGCTTCCCTCTGGAGGCGCGTGCGAAATGGGAGCTTAGCTTTCTCTTGGCTCTTGACCCCCGCCCCCCCCCCACCATAAATTTCTCTATTGAGCGGTTTTTCAACATACTTTTCCAACATAAACACTCGACTACTTTTCATTTTCCATTATTCTTCGTAGCATTTTACTACTACTTTTTTACTTATAAAATTCGATAAAATTCGAATTCGATAGAATTCGAAACACTTCTTACTTAAAAAATTAAAAATTAATATTCTTCGTAGCATTTTACTACTACTTTTCTTTACTACTTTACATTTTCTTTAATTTCCTTTTTTTCTTTTCTTTGTTTTAAGCACAATTGGCGATCTGTCCTTGTTTCAAAAACAACTGCCAAGTGTCTAGCAATATAAGCGCTCCGCCAACGTGAAGTACTTATCGATTATCATTCTCAGCTGGACCACCCAGCGGCCGCCGACCGTTCCTTCTTCTTGAGTAAAGGGCTCTTTTTGCTTTGTTGGTATCAAATGGCGCATCACACGGGGCTCGATGGAGCACGATATCTTCGCTTTCATCTTCGACACCCTTCCACCTGTTGAACTGGTTTCGACCACCACTCCTAATCATCGGTGGTATTTTCCCAGTTTCATCCACTCTCCATACCCCTACACTTCCCCATTCCCCTCGACTCGAAACTCTAACCAGCCAAAAAGTGAGGAAACAGTAAAAGATTTGGAGAAAAAAATCTGCTACAGAAAGCAAAAAGAAAATTTGAAGAGGATTCATCTAACCTTACCAAAAATGGACTGGCAGTGTTGAACGAGTCCATTACATTCCTGACAAGAAACGACTTTCGCAACAGAACCAACTCTTTTTGCCTTATTTTATCGATGTGTTCCTCCATTGGTATTTCCCAAGCATATAGTTTTACTACCTAAAGCAAACAATTCGTTTGAAGCCTATAAATGAAAAAAAAACTCGAATAGCAAAAGATCCAACCTTGATCCCATTGAGAACTTCATTTACCATTTTGGTCCTTTCATCTTTGAATTTCATTTGTTGAACCTGTAAATAAAGATCATCGTAAGTAAGAAGTACTATCTGAAATAACAGTGGAAACTACTCATACCTGCCATTTCTTCACAATTATGGAACAAATAATGTTTGATGGCAGAGCAATTACCATTATTATGAACCCCGGTAAAGCCGAATAACCAAGTGTAAAAAATAAGTACGTTAAGGCTAGTATTATCTAAAATGGAACTGAACATAAAGACAAGCACCTGGGAAATACGCGAAAGAAGACCAATAGAAAGAAAACCTGGTACGGACAGCTCCAGAGCTGTTGAATTTGAGGAGTAATCATTTGGAATCTTTCAATATCTATAGCCATTAAATTAACAATTTCTCCAACTGTCTTGTCTCTTCGAGCAGAGTTGGACAATTCTAAAGACTAAAAAAGACCTAGATGAGGAAGGGAGGGGAAAAACGATATCTTCTCGTATAAAGAACTATGGGCTAATTGCGAATAAAGCTTACCTTTTTGTAGACCGCAGCAGTCAAGGCGGTTTGGAATTTGATTCCCATGCGGAACATAATGTAGAAATATGAATTAAGAACAAATGAGCGCACCTAAACATCATAGTCTACTGAAAAACCTCGCAACAATTCGATTGAGATAAGAACAAATGTTACCTCTGATGCGGCGAACATCAGTATCGAATAGGAGAGACCCACCCAAAGGGGAGATGCCGGATCGGACACATAGCCAATGAGTTGACTGAAACAAAATGACGAAAATCTCTAGACTGTTTCAAAGCGGTTTATAAGTAACACAGTATACACTCACTGTAACAAAAATGGGTTCGCAAATTGCAGGGTATCACTGGTTATTTTAAGTGCTGAAGCTGTCAGAAATTCCCAACGAAACATCATAAAAAGGCATCCAACCACCGAGGGAAGAGCTGGTTTTTTCTCTTTTCTGAAAATCTCCAAATAACTTGATCATCTACATGTGCATGCAAAACAAACCAATGTATATATACTACAAGTGAGAAATGAGTATTCCTGCGAGCAGGATAGGAAAAGTGTGCAATCATGTCGTGATAGAAGGTGCGCGCAACTATTCATTCGGATCTATGAATAAAACGGGAGTCACCTGCAGGCCACCGCACCTTAAATGATCCCATAGCAGTCAAAACGTCGGCTGACGCCCGCGATCCGACTGGTCCTTCTGTGGTGAATGAATCTCTAAACTACCACGGAACCGAGTTATGACGCTTAGTAGCAAAGACCGCCCATCTCGGGTACGGCCCAGCCATCATGAGGACGTTTCCCCCATTTCGCGGGGTTCGCATAGGTCAGGTGTGCTCTCTTCATCTTGTCCCATGCCCTAGCATCCTAAACTTGACCAACCACTCCAAGTACTCTTCAGGTAGAACCTAATTCGCAAAACCACACACCAATAACTAAATGGCGTAGCAAAGTATATAGTAGGCATGTATATCTCCTGTTTCATCTTGTCCCATGCCCTAGCATCCTGAACTTGACACAACCACTCCAAGTACTCTTCAGGTAGAACCTAATTCGCAAATACCACACACAAATAACTAAATGGCGTAGCAAAGTATATAGTAGGCATGTATATTGTATTCATAACTCACCCAGAATCTTCCCACAATCTCATTTTTTCGTAGTAATCTGAATGACAGCGCTCAAGTGAAGTAATGGAGGACAAGGACAGCAAGAAAAAAGCGACCTGTTATTCGATGAGTCCAATGCTTTTCCCATAGTTCAGTAAGATATTTCGATGTGCTCCCTTCGTTCAATTGGAAGAGATCATCAGGCTAAAAATAACTGTCCTCATCAACAGTAACCCGAAGTTTTTTTTTGCAAAAAGAAGTTTCCACCACACTAAGGACCACTTTTTATTTACCTCAAGATCTTTACGAGCACCTTTCCAGGGGACAGGATTGAAACCACCACAGAGTAAGGCGATTGAAAAATGAGCTATCCAGTTCAACGGAGCCTTGCTAAAATGTATGAGTACACAAAATGACATGAAAATCATACAAACATAGAAAAAACATACCCTTTTCTCAGATGGGTCGCGTGGATCAGCAAAGCACATCAGGAAAACATAAATTATTACAGCTGCGTACCACACAAAAGTAGGCAATACATAACGCAGACGATAAATAAGAAGGGTCCTGCAAAGGCGTAAGATACGTTTTATGATTTTCGAGAGCCAGTCACTGTCAGAAGCTGGTGGAGCGAACTACCCATCTGTCTGGTGACCCCTATGGTGCAGTATGGAAACATGCATGTGCTCCATGATGGGTAGTTCCCTCCGAATTGTGGGTTCTGAGGCGATAAAAGAACGGTCCGCTATGACCTGTGAAACTGCACA